CCTCTTGAAATCAATAAAAATATATACATATTTTTAAAAGGGGTGCACACAGCCCAGGTGTTTCTCTTCCCCCTCCTTTCCATTTTTTGCTTGTCTTGTTTGTTCATTTGTTGCTTTCAGTTTAATATCCCACATAGGAGTGAATCCCTCTTATTGTTAATGTCAGGGCTTCATCTTTCCCAGGCCCAGGACCAACAGTTCGTCCCACAGGGGCTACCGCAGCCAGCGCACTCCGAGAAGGCCGTCCGGTGCATCCCACCTTCCACGTCCTGTTGGACACAGGCCAACAGTGTTTGCAGCAATGATCGCAGACAAGACCGCTCCAAGCTGACCTCAGTTAGTCTTTGCTCCTTCCCCTGGTGTCCGGGTCACATTCACATTTACACTGCAATCCTGGACCTTTAGCCAAAGCCTCTCTGCCAGGCACGGCGCACGACTCTGAAATGTCCATTTGTCTGGGAGATTGGGAAGAGGAGGGGTGATGGAAGGAGAGGGTCCTGGACTTGGGCTCTGACCTCTGACCCGGCAACTCTATCTTCATCCAAACGGAGGCCCAGCAGCGCCTGAGAACCAGGAGCCTCGAGGCTTTTTCTCAGCCAGAATGTCTCCGTTTCACCCCTGTGCCCGCCTGGCTGCTCCAAATAAAGAGACCTGGGATCCAGTCCTGCTTCTCCCATGTGATAACTGTGTCCCAGGGTGGGCCACTAAGTCAGGGGCTCAGGATGCCAGAGTGTAAGGGTCCCCCCACATCTTTCAGTAAAACCTTTATAAAGGTCAATGCTTTGGTTCCCTACAACAACCTGCAGTGTGGTCATTCAAACTTCATTAGTAAAACATGCAATTGCAATAATCACTTCCTATGCCCCTCCTACGTGCCCTGCTGTAGTTATTGTGCTAAGATATTTACTAGTGGTATTTATTTAGATCCTGACAACAGCACTATAATTCTGATTATGTCCCCATTTTACAGACAGGAAGGAAAATGTAAAGAGATTAAATATGTTGCCTTAGGTCACATAGGTGGCAAAGGACACATTCAAACCTAGGTCCTTGTGACGTTAAATCTGCTGCTCTGAATTAATATTACACCAAATACCTGAAATGTAATACTATAGAGATAGAGAACTCATTACCCAAATAGCATCACATTTCCTCTCAGATCACAGTGACTAGGAGAACATTTCTTACCCTTATCTAAAATTGTCAGCCAACACATTGCACCCCTCAGCACTAGTTCTTTTCCTTAACTGTGTACAGAAGGAATCTAACCTGTGCACTGGCTCTAACTTCCAGTGTCTGAGGACAGAGATGTCCTGCTAAGCCATCTCTTCCTCTTCATTCACTGGTCCCCACTGGGTCTCAATCCCTCTCAATCTCCTTTCCCTAGATCTCCTGTATTACCTTCCTCACCTCTGCCACCAGGTTCTACTGAGGATGAAATGAAATAAAGTACTTTTTAAAGTAAATGTGTAGTAATGTTTAATCTTCTCTTTGTAAGTCCCCTAGTCATGAATAGAAACCAAGTGAAGGACATACATTTCATGTGATTTTTTTATAACTTTTGATGTGACTTATAGAAAAAATATGTGAGTATATCTAGCCATTGTACACCTTCAAAGCACTGGGAAGTATCTGTCATAGATTTCTGGGTGCCCTATGGTGGCTGAGAGTGTGGGGTCAGACAGGTCCTAAGAGCACCGCTCGGTGGTTAAGGGACACAGAAGAAGTTACTTAACTCCTCTGGGCCTCGGAGTGTCCTCATCCGTGACGCGAGATAAAAGAGTACAAACCTCAGGGGGCTGCAATCAGGATGAAGTGTGTGAAATTTTGTCAAGTGCTTAGAGCAGAGTCTAGCACTTGTTAAACACTGTGTAAGTATTAAATGCATGCAGTGGATACATCTTTCATAGGGTTACGAGGATTTCATTCATCAGTGCTGAGCACAAGCGTGACCTATTATTAAGAATAACCAAAAGATGTAGAATATTCATTGGGAAAGTGAAGAATTTGAAGTTCAGAAAAGTTCATGTGTTCATACTCACACAGCTAGTTCCCTGATCACTACACAATAGCCCCTCAATCAAAATGGAAACGAATGTTTTCTCCTTAACATAGAACTTGCTAGTCTCTCTCTTTGGGCATCAGTCCTGTCTTATTCTATTGGCTGGGCCGGGCCAAGAAGACCCCATTCTGCCCTCTCCCCACGGTCTCCCTATTCCCGAGGGTAGCCTGCTTGCCCACTTACACAGCAATGCGTATATGTAGGCACCTGTGCACCACTCATATGCACGGCTTTCAGACAAACCCATCTAGCCCCCATCTAGATCCCAACTGAGGCTGCCATTCCCACTAATTGCTGTTCTAAATATTAAGCTGTAATAAGAATCATCCTATATACGACTTTTTCATATTCTGGCTAATTATTTTAGAGTAGATATTCAGATGTGGAATTATTGGATCAAACGTTATGGACAATTTTCTTGGCTCAATGCCAAACTGTTTTCTAAAAGAATCATGTGAATGTCAAATGCCATCCTTAATACAGCATGAGTATTACAATTCTATTTTAATATTCATAACCTATAATTCTAACATTCATTATTTACTTATATTTATAGTATTTAATTTAAAATGTATATGCAAATGTTTTAATAATTATAATTTTGGAAGGGACAAGGGATTGATTTATAAGGTAAAAGAGGTACATTTATTATTGATATGAAATATATCCCCCCCTATTTGTAGAGTTTGTATTTCTTCTTTTACAAATTGTCTTTTCTGCCATTTGTACATTTATATGTAAAATTACAACTTGATATTTCCTACTGCTGGCTGAGAGAATTATGGAAGCATATAGAACATGATTCAAATGTGCAGCATTGTTATCTTTTTGATTTGCTATGAAGACATTTGTTCATCATTCCTGATCGATCACAGTTGGAGCAAGGGCAGTTGTAAATGTTCTCAATTTTAAAAGAGGAAAATAGGAATTTAGTGCATTAGGAACTTGCTGCCCTTCCTTAGCTACGTCATGGAAGACCCGCTACCCTTTCCACACTGACCTATTCTTTACCTCCTCCCTTCCTTGTGCCAGAAGAGCAGAAGTCTGACCCTTTGGGGACACCACCCTCTCCCCTACTATTCTCTCCAACCTGAGGCAAACTTTTGCCTACTTCCCAGCGCCTCTCCCAGAGCTGGCAGGCCCCTTGGAATCAGAACTATTTTCAGAGTCCTAAATGCTGAGAACTCTCCTGAGGCTTCTGACTTCTGCTTCTTCTTGGACCCCGAGAATGGGCCTTGTGCCCAGCCTCTCAGGTGCTCAGTCACCGCCAACCTACACTGGCTCCTGGAGAAGTCTCTTACCGACCACACCTGTTAGTAACCCAGCGGCTCTTGCTGGCTCTCTTCTCACAGTCTCAAATATAACCGTCCCCTCTCCTAACTTGTCCTTACCTGCTTTGGACTACGACATTTCCTACTTTCTAGCAGATATATTCCTCATATTCCCTCCCCTTCTAATAGCTTCCATTTCACCCTCTCCTCTAATTTGTCATATTCCGCCTTTTTTAAAATATGAAAACATGTGCCTATGGAAACAAAACTATATATATATATATAATTTCAGAGAGGAAGGGAGAGGGAGAGAGAATCATTGATCGGCTGCCTCCTGCACGCCCAACACTGGGTTTGGAGCCTGCAACCCCGACATGTGCCCTGACCGGGAATCGCGTGCTTCTTGGTCCATAGGTTGATGCTCAACCACTGAGCCATGCTGGCCCGGCAATAAAACAACTTTTAATTTACTCTGCTTCTCCTTCAAAATGTGCTGAGCCTTCTTTTTTGTGTCCAAATCCAAAACTTCCACTTGCTTGCCTCCAGGGCTCTTTATTCCAACAGGTGTTTGCGGAGGAGAAACTCCAGTCTCCTCCTCACTCCCTCCAGCCCGACCTCCCCGGGGAGCCCCTGAGGACTGGCTCCTCGCACAAGACACAACCTGTG